GTTAATGAATAAATGAAAATAAAAGGTAACCATTCCTGTGCGTGTCCAATTTAGTGCTTGACTGATTTGTTTTTATTTTAAATCATCATCATCATCATCAGCCTATTAATGTTCCCACTGCTGGGGCACAGGCCTTCCCTATGGATGGAATAGGGAGATTGGGCCATGACCCACCACGCGGGCCCAGTGTGGATTGGTACCCACCAACTAACGACTGGATGCAGCTGGGACCAACGGCTTAGCGTGCCTTCCGAAGCACGGAGGAGCTCGAGATAGTAATTTTTGGTCACCCATCCAATGACCGACCACTGCGAAAGTTGCTTAAGTTCAACGATCGCAGCCGAACGCACTAACCACTTGCGCCATCGAACTATTTTAAATAACAAAATGAAAATTGGTTCGTATTCACGTCACACGTCACACAATACTTTTGCCCAGTTCAATCAGTCATGTTAAACGAACGGCCTCCTACATAATTTACGAAATTTCATTTGGCACGAACATCAATCCATTGAAAGGGGCTCCTATGTATATGCTACAAAGCTACGTACAAATAAATGCCTTTTGTTCCGTAAAACAATTACACAGTTCTCGAAAATGTAATCGTATTTCGGGAACCGGAAAAAATTGAGTTGATTCATTTTTTTCCTTTTTTCAAATTGCTTTTACCAATTTCGTTTGAATGTCGAATATACTATGTACCTCTCTGCAGTTTCGTTAACATTGTTTTTGGACAATTGAAATACCCATAATGAAGTTAAACGATACTTACATTTTTAAGCATTTAACTGCTAGATGTTTAAATCTAAAGGAAATTTTACTAGAAAAAAAACCACGTGGACTGGATAACCCACAATGCCAAATGAAAACCTTTACAAGTATTATATATTTGAAAGAAGACATAGCAATTGTAGCAATATTTTTTAACTGCTAGATGTTTGTGGGTTTTGAGTCCCATTTGCCCGCTGCCTGCTCCGCGTGGTTTTATTTTACCAGTAAAATTTTCTTTAAACGATAGTATTAGTAATATATATTATTCATGGGATTGTTACTGTGGCGGCGACATCAACATGCCCCACATATAATGACCATGGAGGAAATAGTCACTCGCCTCCTTAAGAGATGGCGCTACCGGCGCTGCGTTCACAACGTAAGGAAGCCTACATCGCGCAAGCGAAATTCGGCAGACAACAGTTAATATATACGATGCCCGACCAACATCAATCGGGCCGCAGCCCTCGAGCTACCATCACCCAGCTCGGAGGAAGATCTTCCCCTTTAGCCTTTCTAGGAATGGGAATAACAAAACAATAAAATACTAATACTATCAATATATTGTTTTAAACTTTCATGGTCACTAACATTATAGTAATATATGTTATTCACGGTATTGTTACCATGTACCGATATTTCGGCACTGTTGCAAGCGCCATGATCACGGTTACTCCGTGTTCATATCGGAAACTCGATAAAAATAAGGTACATGGTAACAATCCCATAAATAACATATATTACTATAATTTAAATAACAAAAACATAAAAACCACTTAATGTCCAAAATTTACAATCCAAATTACCTTTTTTAATAACCTACTTAACTACTTAAGTTGAATTGCGTAATTGAGTGACAAATATACAAACTTTCACATTTATAATATTGGTTAGAAGTAAGATTACCTCAATTGAGATGTAGGACACTTTTACTAAAAAAAAATGGTTGCCTGTAAAGTCGGTTTTACGGGCGAAGATTTTACGTGACAACGTCTTTTTCTCGGTAGAATATTTATTGATATGAATATAATTAAATTGCACAATAGGAACAAGGAATTGAATGAAAATAAGAATTGCACAAATTTTAACTATAGAAATATATTTTGTTTACTAAAACATTGTACATGTAAACTTAAACTTAACACGAGAGACTCATCGTAACGTTACCGAGCGTTACACTTTTTCATAAGTGACTCCCAGCCGCAACCTAATTTAAGACGTTGTCACGTCAAAAAACTTATTATGACGAAAATGACAACGAAGTCGCAAGCGACAGCTAGTGCCTATATAACAAAGTAACGATATTCATAACCATTCATAGTTATTAGACTTGCAACGAATAGTATATTCGGCAGTATACCGAATACCGAATATTCGGCGAGGCCCTGACCGAACAGCCGAATATTAGGCAAAACTATTCGGCTGGATTTTAGCGCCAAAAACTTGTACAGACTTGTTTCGCGCTCCTTTGTTTTGTTCTAATCTGCCGTCCTCACGCTAAAATGCGGCTAAATGACAAACCTTACCCTTCTAAATTTTAATTACCATAATAATTCAAATATATAGAATCCTCCATTTTTCCAATTCAGAAGATGATTATGAACCCGTGTTATGTACCAATGACTACTTAAATGATTATATATAATAGAAATAAAAATATGAATATATACGTAATCAATTGATTTTAATTTTTAATTTTACCAATTATTTCTATATGACAAAATATATTTTTAAGTATTCGGTATTCGGCCGAATAATAGTAAGATATTCGGTATTCGGCCGAATATAATAAAACCAGCCGAATAGGCCGAATACCGAATAGTAACCGAATATTCGTTGCAAGTCTAATAGTTATAGTTATATTATCTAGATAGTGTTTACTCAACAACTGCTATATTAGGTGGAAACGTTATTGTTTGTGTTGCGTACGAAGCATGTTTGTTTATACGCGCATATCTTGTTCCGAGATGCGGCCTGGACAATATTTGCACATCAACATTACAGATTCATCGTTGAGCTGAAATGTTACTAAACAATATTTTCACTGTTGACAATAATAGAAGAAAAATGTTTAACACATTTTGAAGCGGACTTCTCAGACAGAAACTGAGCGGAAAGAGAATGGGCGTGACGAAAAACGGAACTGACATTAAGATTTTTATTTGGCAATCAAACCCAGCAATCTGTAAAACGTCAAAGTTTTGTATTGATACGGATTTGTTTGTTGTTGTGATTTGTTGCGGTTTTTCGTATTTAATCATGTCTAAAAGGGGTAAAACCTTACAAATACGGTAGAAAAGCACTACAGCGCCCTCCAATATAAATCACATTCTCTTTCCGCACAGACTGTAAAGCTTTTTTTTTATTAAATATTTTTCTCCAACTTTACAGTCACTGTATTTAAAGGGCCGCTTCCGCTTACTTTAGGGGTGATGAATGACGTGGTAAGAAAAACTAATTTTTCTATCAATCAACCACAAAATCAGAAACATAATCTTCTCAAAGTTTGAGACTGGAAGCTCGAATGATAGTAAATTTTATGTTACAAAACTTCCGTTTGCCTGTTTCGGTATAACACGGATAATAAAAACATACGAGGAGTCGGTGAACAAAAACGGTAAAATTACATAAAATAAAAATTACAGGAGCTGTATAAAACTGAATGGCATACTTACAGTGAACTTTTGGCATTGTTTTAAATTTATAAATTTGGTAATTTTAACACTGTTTTAGGCGGTTTTGATTGAAAATTGTTTGAGATTCAAATTCAACGGGCCCGAAACCTCCGGATTAAAAAAAAAAGATAGTTCTAATTTTTATTTTTTTTAAAGCATGTAACTGCTTGATGTTTAATTCTAAAGAAAATATAACTAGAAAATAATCCACGCGGACCAGGCAGCAGACGGGACTCGAACCCGCACCCTTCGCTATCCGGGCGAATGCATTGACCATTATGCTACCGCGGTTCTGATGGCCATGTCGAACTCTTTCTTACCTTTCTTAAGCTGCTTTGCAGCTTCCAAAGAAGAGAGAAGCCATCTCTTCACATTGTAGATAACCCACAAAGTTAAATGAACAAAATAATAAACCCTTAAAATTATAGTTATATTTTTTTTTAGGGAGCAGTGACATGCTTAAAAGGATATATATATATTAAATAATTCTTCACGCTCATAAGACTACAATCTCCAAAACAATACTGTTTTCTTGTCAGTTGCGAAACAAGGGTTGGCATTATTGAAATGAAAACTTCTTAAGCGGCGTTGTACACTTTTTTTGTAACGGGTAAAAACTGTTAAACTCGCGTCCGAATACGTGGCCTGATCGCGCCATGACACATGGCCTGATCGAAAATTCGTAAGACGAAAACAATAAAATTAGATAGGTTGTTGTCTTTCAATATATTTGACGAAACATAATTAATATTTTATTTTATCGTATTATAATAATAAGTCTCTATCCACGTGGCAGCTTTATTGCGAAGAAAATGCATTTTTTTTACAATAGATGTCGCTAGGTGCGCTTGAATGTGATTCATGTAAGTTGATTTTTCTGAGAGATAAACTTTTTAATGTAATATAAATTGTCATGTTTGTGTACGATAACGCAATAAATAAATATTGTATTGTACCACATAAATGATCGTACTTTTATACTGATAATTAAGGCAATTCGTGCAAAATTATTCCCTAACCATTCCAAAATATCAAAAATGCACAACGTTAATATTGAAGTTTTCACTTCTGCCGGAACTCCCGGAGTTTCTCCCGTCGTTTTTTTTTGCTATAATGGAGGACGCTTTAATACCTGGTACAGATTTGCTTCGGCCTTTGCACTTATCTATTTGCCGTTAAGATTCCGGTGGGAATATTTGGAATTCCCGGTAATTTACACATTATTTTACCCCAATATTCCCAGTAGACTTCTATTCTCGTATCCACACTAAGATTCAGTATAGAATTCAGGCAACTGGTTGTTTGAATTAAATAAATCAAGATTCATTTAATACCCCAGGTAATTTATTATCTAATAAAAAAAAGTCTGTTCTTAGGACTGTATAGAAAAGAAAATAAGAAATAAAAATACCAAAATCTGAAATAAAGACAAGAGAACGACGAAATTACAACATAAATTAAACTTAATAAAGATCTATGCCGTCGGAAATGGTGAGGAAATTGTTATAAAAGAGTCATGTCTTCATTCAATTAAAAATGATTTCTCTCTCTTTCAGATCCTGCTGAACAAGAGATACCCTTTTTGGGTGAGGGCGGTAAAAATTGCGGCCGAAATCTCCATTTTCAGGTAACAGTTATTATTTTAATGGACGCTTCCTATTTTGTTGGTAATTGCTAACATCAATTTCATTTTATGAAATAGGTTCCTTGCTTTCTGTGAGCAATTAAAACTTTAATCAAGGACTCGATGCTGTTTCTTTTATTTAAAATTTTGACAAGAAAGTTAAACTTGATTAATTTAATATTATTGCTACATTAAGCATGATTGGAAAAAATATTGAAATGAAAACATTAAAAAACATTCTACATTGTTTTAAACTTCAAGGTCACTAACATTATAGCTATTAACGGGATTGTTACCATATACCTTGTTTTTTATGAGTCTCCGATATTTGAAATAACCAAACACAAAAATTTCAATCGTGAGGATGAGTTTAAATTGTCAAGTATCTGGAATCCATGGTTCGTATATGCAAAAACTGCAAAAATCAAAAAAGTGTCGTTCCGCGATCTGATACTGTGAGTATTGTGTGTCGGGAACAGGTGCTAGTGAATAGTGAGAATGTGACCAGTGGTATCGGGTATCGAGTGCAGTAAAAGACGACGTCAGAGGATAGACCGATATGTCTGCCAATAACATCTACCCGCAATTACTTCAGTTACTCCGTGATCATGGCGCTTGCAACAGTGCCGAAATATCGGTGACTCATAAAAAACAAGGTACATGGTAACAATCCCGTTAATAGCTATAAAAATCATTATGTTGGTATAGTTATATTAATGTAAGCTAATATTTTTTTTTATTAATATATTTAGTTTTTTAAAACTTACCCCCATATTAATAACCGAGGGATAAGCTTTAATTAGTTACTCTATGTTTTGTCTCTGTTCATTTAATGACAAACGGCATTTTAATTACATGAACAAGACATGGCATAACTAGTTTAAGCCTATTACTTCTACGTTAATAATGGGGTTTTCGCCTAAACGTGGATTAAAGTTAAACTTGGTTAAGCATAATGCTGTGACTGTTTTCTACTTAGCAAATAAAGGTGACATCATTATTCTATATCAATAGCCAAAGCGCGGTAATATTATCTATAGAGTATTCTATCTTCATACAAACGGTCGGAAAGCGTGTCATACCTACGCCACTCGAGTTAGCGCGGCACCCGGTGGGCATCCAGTCGCGAATGCGCCGCAGTAAAATGCAAAGAGCAATAGTCGATATTGTGCTGTTTTTGGTTGCTTGAACTCTTCAATAATTAAACTTTTTATACGAATGCGTTTTTATTATACTATTAAATTTAATAACATCGAGGCGTAAATATTTTTCTGTCTCAAATTCATTTTTTTTTATTAAATATTACACTTAAAATAACATGTATTTTATGTTACACGTCCTAATTCATTCACAACATTTTTTTTTACATATGAAATAAATTATTTACAATCACAAAACTAGAAACAAACTCAATTACGTAGATGAAATTAAAATACTGTAGGCGGGCAGCCCTACCGCGTGGATACGCCCCGCTCGGCCGTAGGCAGTTATTTCAAGGACAGGGCCGAGTCACAATACTGTATAGATAATATTACCGTGGCCAAAGCCATCCCGATAAGCGGTAGGCCCCTGGACCTATGCCTGGTTGGCGCGGCTCATCTAAACACGCCCTTTGCAGTTCCTACACCAACAAACAACTATGTGTTTGATGGCGAAATGCATTAATTAAATTCATACACATATTTACGAGTTGCTGCGAAAACGTTTCTCTGGACGTTATTGCGTCTCACTGGTATGTCATTAAAACCTCAAACACTTGGACCGGAAGTTTACTAGCGTGTGACGTCAATTTATTCTTTGCCAATCCCAGGCGTTTTCGTTCACAAAAACCTTAGACCAAGAAATATTTATGATTTAATCTTTTTTTTTAAGTCATTAATTAAAGGTTCTTGTCTTGTTGCGGGTTCGAATCCCGTCTGCTGACTGGTCCCGAATTTTCGGAAGTAAAATTTTCTTTAGTTTAAAGTTATTAATTGTTATATTTTTCGCTATTTCTTCTTTAAAGTGATTAATACTTGTAAATGTATTCATTTGACATTGTGGGTTACCTACAATGCGAAGAGATGGCGCTGCCTTGCAGCTTAAGAATGGTTAGAAGAATTTTGACGCGGCCATCAGGGCTGCAGTAGCATAATTGGTCAGTGCATTCGCCCGGATAGCGAAGGGTGCGGGTTCGAGTCCCGTCTGATACCTGGTCCGCGTGGAATTTTTTCTAGTTATATTTTGATAAGATTTATACATTCTTTGTGCTCTCGCAGAATAGTTACATCGCTGCTAATATTCATATTTTTAACGAACGCCAACAATTAGTACTTTAATTTTCATACTGTCATATAGCCTATTGAGGATTGATACGTAAGAAGGTGCCAATGTTATTACCAAACCGAATAGTAACCATCGCTAAAGTTAACTGATAGCTGTGATACCGATCATTCGCTCCAATTTAATTACTGACCACTAGTACAGTCAATCTGTAGGTTGAGTAGTGAAAAAAAAACCTAAAGGGTAAGTCTTGTTTTTTCTGTTGCCAAATGACGTCAGTAAGCTACCTTGGCGATGGGCATGTTCAACTCGTAGGCGTTTTTTGAAAAACTCAAAAAAACCGTCAAAAAAATTTTAAAACTCATTTTTCTTGTTTTGTATGCATTTTAGAGATTTTTTATTCGAACATAATTGTAGAGGGCGTTGAGTACTACAATTAATGTCATTATTGCAATCTGGTACAACAAAAAATGCGCATTGTAGGTGGCGCTAAAGTTTCAAAAAAGTGTTTTTTCACTTTTTCACCCTGAAAATATCATTTTAATGGAAAACTTTAAATGGCAAAGTTGTTTCGTACATAATTACCAACAACTTTTGTATAAACATTTTTTTTGTATTACTTACCGTTTTCAAGTTATAAATTGCGCAGGTATGAAAAATCCAATAGAGCGGTTTTGGGCAGTTCAAGTACACATTTGCAGTGCACATTTCAATGTACGTTTTTACTATGTTTTTTTTAATCATGAAAAAAAATAAAAATAAAACTATTTTTTTCATTTTTTTTTTGTTTTTCAATCATGAAAAATAGTAAAACGTACATTGAAATGTGCACTGCAAATGTGTACTTGAACTGCCCAAAACCGCTCTATTGGATTTTTCATACCTGCGCAATTTATAACTTGAAAACGGTAAGTAATAAAAAAAAAATGTTTATACAAAAGTTGTTGGTAATTATGTACGAAACAACTTTGCCATTTAAAGTTTTCCATTAAAATGATATTTTCAGTGTGAAAAAGTGAAAAAACACTTTTTTGAGACTTTAGCGCCACCTACAATGCGCATTTTTTGTTGTACCAGATTGCAATAATGACATTAATTGTAGTACTCAACGCCCTCTACAATTATGTTCGAAAAAAAAGTCTCTAAAATGCATATAAAACAAGAAAAATGCGTTTCAAAAATTTTTTGACGGATTTTTTGAGTTTTTCAAAAAACGCCTACGAGTTGAACATGCCCATCGCCAAGGTGGCTTACTGACGTCATTTGGCAACAGAAAAAACAAGACTTACCCTTTAGGTTTTTTTTTTCACTGAAACGATATTTTTTTCAACAGATTGACTGTACTACACGGAGCCCTCGCTAAAAAGCCCGTTAATTGTCTATGTTATTCCAATAGACGTTCCATAATCCACACTGTTAGTATAGCTTCATTACAACCTTTAAAGAGTGTCATTTTAGATAAAATTTTCGATAACCGATAAGTGCAATAGCAGTGCTTACGTCTGGTACTTTTATTATTAAGGGGCCTTATTCATAAACGAAGACTACGCTTGGATTAGTTACTCCATGTTTTATCTCTGTCTATTGAATGACAAATGGCATTTTAGTGATATAATCAAAACAAGGCGTTATTTAATTAGGAAGAGGAGCTCGATGGAGCAAGTGATTAGCGCGTTCGGCTGCGATCGTTGAAGTTAAGCAACTTTCGCAGTGGTCGGTCATTGGATGGGTGACCAAAAATTTACTATCTCGAGTTCCTCCGTGCTTCGGAAGGCACGTTAAGCCGTTAGTCCCGCCTGCATCTGCAGTCGTTAGCAACCGCCAATCCGCACTGGGCCCGCATGGTGGGTCATGGCCCAATCTGCCTATTCCATCCATAGGGAAGGCCTGTGCCCCAGTAGTGGGGACATTAATAGGCTGATGATTATGATGATTATTTAATTAATAACCTATTAAGACAATGCCAAATTTATTTAAAGTTTTACTGCTCTTACTATTATAAATTTAACTGGCCTCGCTTGGGCAGTTAATCTCATCTCTTATCTATTAGACAAGTCCGTCCGTCCGTCTGTCTGTGGTGCTGTTTCAGCGGCCAAACCGTAAGAGATAGATAAAGAGATTATTTAAGTTATAAGTTATAATAAGGTGGACTTCGTAAAACAATCACAGAAATACAAGATAATAATGAAGAAAATGAATACACACAACTTGAAAGGATAATACTACAAAGCATAAATACAAATAAGGTGACCAAAACTAAAATGTTGAACGCCCCACGTGACGACTGGATCAACAGAAACATACTCGAGGAAATAAATAAACGCAACCAAATATGGAGAGAACTAAAAACGAGAGGTGGCGATGAAAATTATTTTGAATCTTTAAGAAGAGTGTTAATAAACTTATCAAATCAACTAAAAAGCAATTTTACCATAATTCTTTCAAAAAATGTTACAATAACTCGAGAAAAATGTGGGACCTTTTGAATAATTTGGCCAAAAACAAGATACAGGAAGACGTTGCCCTGCCAAGTTTGCTACTGAACACGGAACTTGTAAATGAAGGAAGTAAAATTTGTGAAATATTTAATTCTTATTTCTCCACTGTAGGTAGTAATTTAGCTAACGAAATCCCAATAAAATATCACAGAAGCAATATTTATACCTTGATGTATGATAATGAATACAAGCACAGTGCAACATTGTCAGAATTCCGACCATGTAGTGTAAATGATGTTTCAA